AGCTAGTTAACTCTTTGATCTATAATTATACAACAGATGAATTAATGTTAAATAATAGCTTCCAAGCAATACATGTGGGCTTTGGATCGCTGTTAGGGGTGAACAAAGCAATGAATATTAGGGCAAATAGTTTTGTTTTATTAAACTAATTATCGATATTTAGAGCTCATATCCAATTGAGACAATACAGTAATATTATTAAAACATAGCAAATGAGAGGCATTGCATTAGAGAGTAATCTTATCGTTGACACGAAACCCAATCTAATCACTTACGAGACAATTCATAGAGAACTCCTGCAAAGATTGCTTTGCTATACATTCAAAACAACATCTCATTAATAGTATCATTCATGTTAGACTTGTATTGGATTTAATTGAATGAAATTTAATTAAATAGTAATTAAAATGAAAAAATTAAAAGGACTTCGTTTTGCCGACACTTCAGTTTCGATCGAAAATTTACGCCAAGAAAGACTTAAAAGTAGACAAAACTTTCTGAAACAACTCAATTGGGATAACTATGAGAGGATTAGGGTTGTCGGCAAAGGTATGTCACATCCATGGCTTCCTTCATTTAATTATACATTAAGTTAATGCAAATTTGTTTCATTTTCATTTTGATTAAAAGAAAAATCATTAGCATTTTCTATTTGCTTAATATAAAATATGTGATTACTTAAAATATATGAGATAATCACATGTACAGAAATCTGATTATAGATTTAAGTTTATTTACATTTACTTGGATGTAGCAGAGTTATAGTATTTTTAAATAGTTAATTATAAATCACTTGCAGTAATATCTTCAAAATGAAACTTTTCTATAATTTAAGGGGCGTTTGGAACGGCTGTCTTATATCGTAAAAAACCGGACGGTTTGCTAGTAGTGCTCAAAGAAATCAATATGAATGACTTGACTGCAGCTGAGAGACAATTAGCGATAAATGAAGTGAAAGTGTTGTCCATTTTGGACAATCAGAATATTGTCAGCTATTATGACAGTTTCGAAAGTAACGGCAATTTGTATATCGAGATGGAGTACGCGGACGCCGGCACTCTCGCAGAGTTTTTGTCCCAATTGTCTGCACCTCTTCAAGAGTACGAAATACTTCTGATATTCAGACAAATCGTATGTGCCATCAGTTATTTGCATGAAAACAATATTCTGCACCGAGATATCAAAACGGATAATATTTTCCTTAATAAAGAGGGGTATATAAAAGTGGGTGACTTTGGGATCTCCAAAATGCTTACCACTAAAAGAGAGGCAGAGTCTGTGGTCGGAACGCCTTATTATATTAGTCCCGAAATTGTAATATTAATATACATTTAATTTTGATTTATATATTATTTTATAAAATATTGTTTAAAACAATTGTCAATCAGTGCGAAGGCAAGAATTACAATCAAAAAGTTGATATCTGGGCCTTAGGTTGTGTTCTCTATGAAATGGCATGTCTTCACAAGACATTCGAGGGTTCTAACCTCCCGGTGCTTATTAATAAAATAGTCAAGGTATTACACAGAATTTAGTTTGCTTATATTCAAATTGGATTTTTATTGATTACAAAACAAATAAAGTTTGTTGTATTGAATGGATTGTAGGGTCAGTTCGCACCCGTCAAACGCAACTATTCCACTGAATTCCGTACTCTTATCAATGAGTTATTGCATAGAAATGCCGATTTGCGGCCAACAGCTCAAGAAGTAATGGACAGTTTGGTTCGTCTACTAAATAAGCAACAACTCGATAGAATCCAACTCTGGTCTCAATACCAAGAAATGCCGACTTCTATCATGACTTCCGGTATTCTAATCCAAAACAGTAGGTATACGTTCACTCAAACACTATATTTTTGTAATTAACTCAAAACTTTATTAAAACAAAAGTTCACTGAGATATCCACGTTCAGCCGTGTATGAGGTCCAGATTAGTGAACCACATATCAAATTGTCTCCGATCAAATTACCACAAAAAATTAGAATAAAAGAGGTAAGGCTTATAACTTCATTTATTCACCGCATAATTAATATTAATAAAATATATCCATTTGCACCACACTGTTATCTTTACGATAAATCATATTTAATGGTTATATTAATATTTTATTTTTTACTTGTAGTTAAGTAAGAGTTCGACCCATTATTTAGCGCTTTCCTACAATTCTGTAGTATATTCGTGGGGTATCGGCAATAAAGGGCAGTTAGGTTTAGGTGAGTCGGTAGTGAGCACTCGGGAACCGACACGTATTGAATCGATTAGCAATAGGACTATTGTCCGCATTTGTGCGTCCGATGGCTTCAGTTTGTTTGTCAGTAAGAATGGACTCGTAATGACGTGCGGAGACCATCAAAGTGGATGTTTGGGTCGAATCGACGCCTTTCCCTCTTTTACTCCCAAATTAGTAGACTCTTTGCTCAGTGCAGACGTTTCGTGTGTGAGTTGCGGTCCAAATCACGTATCGGTGGTGACGGGCGATGGGAAGGCCTATTCGTGGGGATCTAATATTGATGGCAGGCTGGGGATCGACTCGCGCGTCACGAACGTCGATATCCCTACAAGTGTTGCCTTTCCTGAAGGCGTTGTCATTAAAAATGTATTTTGTGGACACGACTCGACAGCTTTTATTGATGAGTTAGGATTCGTATGGATTTGTGGCAACAATTGCTTTAACAAACTGGGACTCAATGAGAAGATACAGTTCCGGACAATCAAAGTGAATAACAAATGGATTGCAACCAAATTAAAGTGGATTAAACAGAGAGTCCATTCCGTGTCTCTCGGTGTCCATCACTCGGCTTTTGTGGTCGAAGGAGAAAGAGTTATCACGTGTGGAGTCAATAGCGACGGCCAGTTAGGTTTGGGTCACGTCCGGCCTAAACATAAGCCACATTTCGTGAGACAACTGTCTGAACAGTCAATAATTGTTAGTTATTTTGAATAAATGACAGAACATTGAAGACAATATTGATTTTGTTATGAACTGATAGAGAGTACAGACGGGATCAGCCTTTACAGTGGCCTCCAATTGCGAAAATGTGATCTATTTCTGGGGCGCCAGACCTCTCAATTCCAATGCAACTAATGGTATATTCTTAAGACTATGTTTAATGAATATTTGATTGTCTCATATAATAAATATGTTATAGAAGTCGTAAATCCAAGCAATCATTTGGCGTTAGAAGCGATAAAATTAGGTTTGTATTAGCGCTCAGACTCACTGTACTATACACTGTATATGCTATAGCACTGGTAGCACAACTTTAGTCGCATAAAAAGCTTTCTTATCTAATACAGTATTCAATGCTTTCATAAAAATGCTTTACTTTTGACCACTGAATGTGTTATTACAGAATTTTATATTAAATGTCATTTATTTATATCTATTTATTATTCACTTCTTCGCAGTGAAACAAGTTTTGCACAAAATATTACATTAATGTATGGAATGAATTAGAGCTCAAATGACGTCCGGCCTAAACATAAGCCACATTTCGTGAGACAACTGTCTGAACAGTCAATAATTGTTAGTTATTTTGAATAAATGACAGAACATTGAAGACAATATTGATTTTGTTATGAACTGATAGAGAGTGCAGACGGGATCAGCCTTTACAGTGGCCTCCAATTGCGAAAATGTGATCTACTTCTGGGGCGCCAGACCTCTCAATTCCAATGCAACTAATGGTATATTCTTAAGACTATGTTTAATGAATATTTGATTGTCTCATATAATAAATGTTATAGAAGTCGTAAATCCAAGCAATCATTTGGCGTTAGAAGCGATAAAATTAGGTTTGTATTAGCGCTCAGACTCACTGTACTATATGCTATACAGTGGCTATACTGGTAGCACAACTTTAGTCGCATAAAAAGCTTTCTTATCTAATACAGTATTCAATGCTTTCATAAAAATGCTTTACTTTTGACCACTGAGTGTGTTATTACAGAATTTTATATTAAATGTCATTTATTTATATCTATTTATTATTCACTTCTTCGCAGTGAAACAAGTTTTGCACAAAATATTACATTAATGTATGGAATGAATTAGAGCTCAAATGAATTAATGGATATCTTTCTGTTTGTGAAACACTATTGCATTCAAATAAATTAAATCATATTTCACTTACAGTGCACTTCACATAAACATAAGATATAAGTTATATATTAATTATTTGCAGTTTTTGACATTGCTTTCAGTGAGTTATAGTACAATACCACTCATTTATGCCTTCACTTAACTTCTCTCATTACAATTAAATTAAAAAGTTTTTAATGCAATAAACACAGGAGAATGCAATCAATCACTTATGAATGTTGTGGAGAGTGTGGGTCCCGACCACCCTATTGTTCAAATACGTGACCCACAGATCATAATCGATAACTTGTCTGACCTCTCGCTCCTGAGTTCAACTAATAAAGCAATTATTCTCAAACCACAACCCATTGTATCTCTATATGCATCACCAGTACATTTACACCAGGGAGATGTTGTAGGCCTGGCCAACCTCTATGTTTTTGCAGGTTTACAATCAATTACCGCTGTTTGTATTCATAATATGTGTCTAAATTGAGATGAAATTTTACATAACAGATGATAGCGTCTATATAGTGATCGACACAACTATTCCATTAAATACAGAAAACAACGATTTGTTTCAACAAACTTTGAGTCTATCAACAGTTGCCGAAGAAGAGAACTCAATGATTAGAGCCTCTAATGCCAGCAATTATAATACGGATACAAATTTGAGCCAAAATGTAATATTTTATGAGTAAATAACGATAGAAAGAGAGAAAAGCGTTCATAAGATTTATATGATATAAAGTATAACTAAAAAGCATTTAATACTCTATTCCTAAGATTCCCGAATGGATTAGAATAGAGATGGAGGCGAATACAAGTGCCATCGGTTTGCACTCAACAGTAGATTCAATGCCAATAGTGTCGGAGGAGTATGCGAGTGAAAAATGTTGTGATTGCTGTGAATGTCATATAGAAATTTCAAGACTGAGAGATGAATTGCAACAAAAGGATAATACAATTTCCACTCTTCAGAGCCTAAACACAGAATTAGACGAACAGAACACACGATTTGCGCGAAGGGAACAAGAATTGAACAAAAAGTTTTCGCTCTGCAAACAGTGCGCTATTATGTAAACCTATTGTCCATTTATTCTTACTTATAATTCTTTACTTGTATATCAAATCAACACAACCATATCGACCGCTCCAGTCTTTTATCCTTTAATGACATTACGAATACTGTATTAAGAAATCGTACTGTATATATGAAACGATACACAAAATAACACTACTTTTCCAGTCATTTAACAGACTAAATAAATATTTCATTCCAATAATACTTTTTTACAAAAGCTATATTTAATTAATATATGGATTTATTTTCAATAATTAAATAAAAGATCTATTTTCTAATCCAATATGTAAACAAAATAAATTGGATTTCGAGTCTACATGTAATCCATTACAAGATTTACAAAAACTCATTTGATCTTAAAAATTGTGTTAATAATAAACTATTTGTGGATCTCCATTCAATTTAAAGGAAATTAAAACCTGACAGTTATCTTAAATTGAAATATATATTTCTCAGATAAAAGTCATAAAAGTCTTATTGCCACATATTATTCGTATTATACTCTAATGTATAGATTCTGTACTATAGAACATAGTGTACCCGATGGTACATATGATTGCTTATTCATGTGAATAATCATTCATATACTGTATTTACAAACATAAAGAAAGAAAATTATTAAAAATATTTAATGATTAATATTTATAAATTATTAATCAATATTTATGTTAATTATTGAGAAAAAGAATCTATACATTTTCAAAACCTTTTATTTAATTTGTTAGATTATTAAGTTAAATAAAAATTTATCACATTATTTATAAAATATTTGAACTGCTTATAACTAGTAAAACTAATAACTTATAAGTACTTACAGTTAGATAGTTAATATACAAAGTTTATTTATTTATTGTGAATTATCAATGATAAGCATAATTCTAAATAGCAAAAAGTACTTGGGTGCCATTTAAGAATTATAGAATTTTATTTGTATGTTAAAATTATGTATTGTTAAATCCTAAATAATTCCCTTGATATCAAAAAAATATTTATTTTTAAAAATTTAAAATAAAATTGATCATAATTTTGCATTAATTACTTTTATTTAATAAAATGTAACATTGTAAAGGACTTGAAAAATTAATACTTGCAGATGAATACACAATAAACTTTTGTATACAGAACTATTATTTCGCAAATATTTGTCTAAATTTATTGTATTATTTAATCATTTTTCAGTGGATATCTCATTTTCTAGACAAAGACATGGATTAAGTTAAACAAACTTTTAATTAATCTTTAGACTCAACGAAATAAGTGGGAACAAGAATTTGTTCATTCTTTGGTTACAATACAGTATAAATTATATAAAAAGCAATTCTGTAATGTTTAAGACAAGTTCTTTTCATTATTATTATACGAAATGAATTCATTGTATTATTTGATATATGCTTCTTATTTAGTAAGCAATTGTGTTGTAAATACAGCAGTTATTGTGAATACAGATTTAGGTTCACTTAAAGGAAATGAATTCTTTATTAAAGATCAAAACAAAACAATTTCAGTCTTTGAAGGCATTCCATATGCAAGACCTCCGACAGGAGATCTTAGATTCAAAAGAGCAGTTCCTGCCGACAAATGGACCGGAATTTGGGACGCAACTCATCGTAAGAATATTTATTTATATTTATGTTATTAATGTATTATTTTTTATTGTATTAATATTTAAAGTAATAGTTTAAGTATAGAGTTTATATATTTATTTGTATGGCATGTTAGCCAGGTCGTGGTGTACTCAACCGGATGAAGACAATATAAGCGAAGATTGTCTTTTCCTTAATATATACGTTCCCCACAATCGGTTTGATAATCAAACAAAGCAGATGAAGAAAAGTGTAATGTTCTGGGTACATGGTGGCAGTTTTATCACAGGCTCAATATTTAGCCAACAGTTTAACGCCACATACTTGTCATCCATGGGTGATGTGGTGGTGGTTGAGGCCAATTATAGACTTTCAGCATTTGGTTTACTATACGATGGCAGTGAAGAGGCGCCGGGAAATCAAGCCCTCTCTGATCTCTTGATAGCACTTAAATTTGTTAAGAATAACATTGAATTCTTTGGCGGAGATCCCAATTCTGTGACTTTATTTGGCGAAAGCGCGGGAAGTATGGCTGTATCGGCACTAATACTGATAAAGAATGAGAATCTGTTTAACAGAGCAATAATGCAAAGCGGATCCGTTGACTCATACCTTGGAAGTGAAGCCAAAGAATCGGCACTCATTAAGGCTCAAGACTTAGCCAAAGAATTCAAATGTTTTGATGAATTAACAAACAAAATCAATATATCGTGTCTCAGAAATGCTGATCCAAAACAATTAGCTACCAGTTGTAATAAAATGAGATATAATAATCAATTCTTTACGCCGATATTTGGTGAAGACTTATTACCAATCAAACCATCAATAGTTCTCGAGAAAGGAGAATTCAAGTATTTATTCATTAACTCATTTCTATTGACATTCAATTAATAAAAGTCAAATAATATAATTTTTGTATTTAATTGAAGCAAAAACATTAGTCTATTGTTTGGGACGTGTAATGACGAGGGATCGGGATTTGTTTCAAGCTTTGGATTTCAAGACTTGAGTTCCAGCAGTCCCAATTCGTCCATGAACTTGGAGAAAGCTCATTTTATGATAGAATTATTGTTTGGTGTAATGAAAGTCTCTTATAGCAAAGAAGTGGCAGATTTTTATACAAAAGGTCTAACAGATAATGACGGATATGAACTAAAGAAAGCGGTGTCCAATGCCTTTGGTGATTACCAATTGACCTGTCCCACCATTAGATTTGGGGCACACCTTGCAGTCAATGACAATTCATATGCATATCGATTAACATTTAGCACAAGAGATAACTGGACGGGTGTCCAGCACGGGGATGAGTTGAAGTATGTGTTTGGAAATCCTTTTTTGTATCCAAATGACTACAGTAAGGATGAGAAGCAATTAAGTTTGACTTTCATTCAAACGTGGACCACATTTGCCAAAACGGGGTATAATATCATCACTTTATTGAATACAAAGTATAATTAGAGAATTATACCGTATATTAAAACTTAATTTATTATTGAATAGAAAACCCCCGCAAATACACAGAACTCATTGGCCACAAGCTATTGACAAGAAAATTACAGATTATTCGGTCAGATATTTGGCACTAAATCCAAAAGAGTATAAAATTGTAGAAAATGAATATAAAAGCACTTGTGATGGCTTCTGGAAAAAACATGTCAATTCAAATGAATAACTTTGCAAATGTTAGGCATATTCTGTTAACTTTTTAAATATATAAGGCTAATTTGTATTGTAAATTTATTAATTAATGAAAACTGTCTGTTAAATTGTAAATATAATAAATGCAAAGAATTTGAAAATTTATGAGAAAATCACTTTAATATAATTAAACATATTTGGCCACCAATTCATTCTTATGGCTAAACTTCCAGCGTATGGTTTATCCCATTTAAGGATCACGTCTTTGCCATTATAACCGTTGTAAATCATTTGATATATAGAGAGACTGACGCCACCGATGAAGTCGTCGTCGTGTCCGTGGTCTGCATCGTACACAAGAAATGTCACTTTACTGAGGATGGAAACCGACTTATTCTTCCAGTTCAGACACTCGTGATTCCAATTCGGGTTATTATTGTCGTTATGGATATCTGTCTCACAATCACAATCCCTGTCCACACATACGATAGAATAGGCGTCAGACTTGTGCCAAATAAGTAGATCCATGTCTGGCAGTTGTGCCGAATGTATGGTCACATCCAGAGAACCCGTGAATATCATATAATATATATTAACCGTTAATAAGCATAAGATTAGACTCAAAATCATAGCAAAGAATTGAAGATTAGTGTTGAATACGAAGTGATGAAAGGCCTGCCATTTGTCTTCAATGAAAGCCATTATCCATTCCCTTCTGTTCCTATAGTTATAGACGTAAACAGATTTACAGATTTCACACTTCAGTCGTCTGAGGCTTCTTCGAGATATTAACCATCTCTTGAGACACTTGCGGTGCACGTATTGAGCGGTTCCCTTACACTCGCAGGGAGTCATCAATTCTGTGACAGAATCGCTCTCCAAACAGATCCGACAAATGGGATTCATCTCATTCTCCGCTCCCATACTCTCATCCTTCACACTCTCTTCCATCACAACTAACCAACACTTGTGACCAACACTTGTCACCAACACTTCAGTCACCAAATAATTAGCAAATTTTCCACCAATTCATGGTTTAGTGCAAACTCAGTAACACTGTTAATAGTCATTAATTAAATCATTGCTACTTTCAATCATTATTTATCTATAATAGATGTGAATGTCAAGAATCATTAAATACTCAAATTTTGATTATAATTTAAGCGATTTTAAATGCATTTATACTATATTTACAAAACTATACATTAGAGTGCATTCAAAATAAAATACTGTTTATCAATATTTGAGTCAAGTGTTTGGCTGATAAAAGTTTTATCTGTTGGTAAATTTCATGTTCAATAGTAGTGTACTCCAGTATATTTACTAAATAAAATTGAAAAACAGCTATTTTGTATTTAATTAATATATTGCATAACTTTCTATACCGGTATGATATAAAAAATGAAGTATCTAATACAGTACAATAATATAAATTGTATGAAAGTTTCATAATGAAACCCTTAAAAAGTATGTACAGCGGTTTAAGGAAAATTATTAATTATTTAAATTCACATCAAAATAATATTGACACTTCGCTTATATCATATAAGTTATATGTATTTATTAAAATTAATAATTTTACATAAATTACATATAAATTAATTGGAAATTTTAAGTTGCAGCAATTTTACATTGCTAAATTTAATAATCATTACACACAGTTCCCAATAGCTTAACCTTGACGTGCATAAACCAAAATGCTCTGTGAATCTCTGCGAACGCAATGTAATGCTTTAACAATTGAATAATCATTTATTTACTACAGTATTATAGTACATAATAATAATATGATAATTAGGAAAGAATTGAATATTTTATATAAAACAACATTTTATTTCATATCAAATATTTATTAAAGTTATTTTTAAATGTTTATTATTTAATTATTGATGTTTTCAATTTGTATCAAATGATGGTAACATAAATTATATAAACAAATAATTTAATTTTGGGTCGACTTTTGAGATAAAAATGATTTCTTGAAGTCTTCGTATTCTTTCTTTTCGTTTTCGTCTATTAGACATAAATTTGTATCAAATGATGGTAACATAAATTATATAAACAAATAATTTAATTTTGGGTCGACTTTTGAGATAAAAATGATTTCTTGAAGTCTTCGTATTCTTTCTTTTCGTTTTCGTCTATTAGACATAAAAAGCGGTTATTTTGAAGCATTAAAACCAATATTTATAACAATTAACAGTTTAATGCATACCTTCGGGTTGATCGGCATCCATGAGGGGGTCAGGCGTTGAGTCAGAGTCGCTGTCCTCATGGCGATCCCTATGAGCGGTGGCTGAGGGGTCGCCAAACGTGATCAGGTCTTCCTTATGGGAGGCTTTGTGGAGCTGTTGTTCCCTCTGTTTGTTTCTCGCCAGTTGTGCCTCACGTTTGATGCGCTCATACTCTGGTCTGTAATCCCTTTCGTACTCAACGGCCGCCTCTTTGATGGCATCTATGAGTTGGTCTAATCCCTGGCCAGTGGTGGCCGACACGCCCACAGCCTTCAGGTTCTCATAGAAGGTGTCCAACACGAGGGACATGGATCGGGTGAGGTTAGCCATATGGGAGGTCTCCTTCTCGATGGCCTCCTGGAACAGCTGCCAGTCTTTCATCCAATCGATGGCAAACTTGCAGTCAATGGCATCGCATTTATTCATTGCTATAATAATCGGAAGTTTGTATTTATAGACAACAGAACACGAGTACAACATATTTGACATAAAAGTGATCGGATTCTCGCTGCGGATGGTGTCCAACACGTAGACAATCACTGTCGGGAACCGTGAGGCCAACGCTTCCGTCATTATGGCGCCCGACGCCGACCACGTGAACACCTCTATCTGTCCCGGGGTGTCAAACAACACATATCTGTCAACATATCATCCATTCATTAGACCAATCAGTCACTCATTGGCACCCAATTGCAGACTCACTCGTAAGCGTCGGCCCTCTTGTCTACCAATTGGATCACTTGATCTAATTGTGTGGCGAAGAGGTTGAGGCACGTGATGATGGCTCCGTTGGGACCTAATTTGTATCGTTTCATCACTTCCTTGTAATTGACTGTATCTCTGATGTCAATATTGGTGGGGAAAGGGGTGGACACGACCGCCGGATCGCAGTTCACGACATATGGCATCGACTTTTGGCTGAAGAGGTGTCCGCAAAGTCGGCCACAAAGAGTCGATTTACCGCTTCCGGCCATTCCTAACACTATCACACATATGGGTTGTCTCTTAGGGGTTACCACTCCTTCACCCGAAGATGTCGTGGCATTTGGCTCTTCACTCGCATTCGTTGCCATTATTACCACTTTAACAGAAGTGAAGTGTTGATTAGTTTACAAACAGTGCAAAAATCAGCATAAATATTTGTTTTGGTTTTATAAACATATCTTTAATGCAGGTTTAGTAACGTTTGAATCGTGAGTTAATAACTTGATATCATAAGAATATGATTGCATTCACCTTAATATTGTGCTTATTTTAATTGAATCTCATTTACCTTGTTAATTTATAAGAAAAGAATGGCACTAATTAAAATCTCTTGTTGTTTTTATGTTGATATTGTAATTGTATCAATGTACTTTACTAGATTGAGTTATTAGCTATTTTTAAAATATTGCACAACACTATAGAATCAAATGAATGTGTAATGGACTGAATTAGCAATGCACATACCAATATACAGTTATTCAATCATTATTCAACATTAATCTGATATCTACAATTTATTGATAAATAAAGTGTTTACTATTTATACTCTATTAATATACTGTAGTGATAATCAATATTATAAGAATAATAAACTCATATTTAATGTTTATATTATTAGGTTAGAATATTCCATTAACAAAATGTTTAATACTGTTACAGTATACCACTTTAAACTACTATATATTAAATAATAATTATGATAAAATTTAATAGTAAAGTTATGGTTTTAAAAATAACTTAGTGCTGTATTAAATAAATCTTAATCTTAAATCATGTATACTGTATTAAGATTTACTGTACATATGATTTATAAAGATAATATATTATATTAATATTAGAATGACTGAATTCCTAAGCATAAAATGTTTAAAATTTTTACATTAAAGCTATAAATATCATTTAAGTGTCAATTATAAGTCATATAAGTTACTGTATTTAATGATTATTTAAACCTCAAAACATGAACACAAAATTGTCATATATTTTAAACATAATGATAGAAACGTAGAAATCAGAGAATTGCTCTGAAACCAGAATAAACCGGATATTTAAAGTATAATACATTATGGGTTGTCATTGCTATCTAAACCAGTTCTATCTAAACTTATATTATCAATATCTAGTATTCATATATGATATCATATCTCACATCTTATCACTACTGTATTAAGAAATCAATTTAAATTGGTTATTATTATTTTGTTATTTTATCACCTTCTATTTTTTTCATTTTCAGTAAATTCTTATTAAAAATTAAATCATAATTGGAAACAAGTTAAGCTTGGTAAATTTACATAAATATTTTTGGAAACAAATATTTTTTTTATCAAATTTTTAGTTTAGTGCAAACCATTCAATTATATAATCAGTTAATGACTTAATATCATATATGCTAATCGTAATCTAAAGGTTAGTAAAATGAACTTAATTTAACATTTCTCTCCCTTTATCTTAACTTTATACCAATAAGTTATAGTGATTTTATTGAGATCATTATAACAACAATATTTTCATTTCTTAGATATGTTATCAAAACTGATTGGAATTAAACTTATTTTTCATATTAATTTTTGATAAACTTTGTTAAATTAGTGATATAAATGTCTTTGAATCTAACGTTTAGTCAGTTGTAATCATTTTTGTCAGTATACAGTATAAGTTATATTGAATATAATATATTTAGTGTTTTATGTTTTGTTTAATTTGTTGAAACAATATTTTCCTACTTTCGGTAAGTACTCTAATTATCTTGTATGTTACATTATTTTATAAAGTTTGGAAATTGAAAAATAATCAATTTCACTATATGATTTACAAATTTTAACCGATAAATGTTAGTTGTTGTTCATATGCATACTCTTTAAATATTTCTTTGGATTTTAATTTTTTGAAAAATTTAATTTATTTTTATTATTATAAATATATTTCATATCTGGATAACTATATAGTGTAGATATTTTACTATATAATCCAAACGAATCTATTAATATACAAACTACAGAATCTTATAATACATTATTTTAAAACTGGCTGTCATTGCAATGACGTCTGGTCTCTATGACATCAGAATCTGTGAAAACTGAAACTGAATTCAATGTTTATAAATATATTATTCTCTCTACTCTTACTTTGTTAGCATAAACTGAAGCCAATCCTTGCATTTACAGTAATTCTCATTTTAAAAATTATGGGATTACTATTAAATTTAATAATTCTTTTTATATTTGTTCATCGATAATAAATATTTATATTTTACAAATTTTATTATTTTTAGTTAAGTCATTTAATATTGAATACATTTTGTAGTGTATATTTTATACAATTAATGTAAATATAATGAGTCTCTTATATAATATGAAGAATCAATTATTGCTAAAAATATTTCATGATTCATGTGTTAAATAATTCACGGCTAAAATATATTTACTTAAAAGTAAATAAATTTAATTAAGTAACCATACTGTAATTAATATATAGTACAATTTTAAACCCTTAAATGGACCGATCATTTAAATTTGCTTGAAAACCTTCAAACACTTAAATTGATTCTAATTGAATCTATTAAAATATACTTCTAGTGTTGATTATTCTTATATATAAGCGAAAGGTTTTAAATTATAGTTAAAACTTTCAATCATTCTTGGTGATTTTACAAAAAAATATAAATACTAAATTGAATGTATAATACTAATATTATTTGTTTTCTTACTTAAAGGCACAATAAACAAAGCAATCATAGACTTAGACATTATTTTAGTGGCCAATCATTAGCACAAACGATGTCTTATTTGCTGCGATTCGGTGTAGTGGCGGACGTGCAGTACGCGGACAACGATGATCGTCAGGCCTGGTATGACACCAACAAAACCAGGTTTTATCGAAACTCATTGACACAAGTGAAGAAAGCCTTCACTCATTGGAATTGTGAAGAGAATCAAAACCAAGGAATCAGTTTTGTTCTCCAATTGGGAGACATCATCGATGGCATCAATGCTCAGCCCCGAGAGTATCACGACTCCAGTCTCGACGCTATTAGGAGAACATTGAATGAGTTTGAGTCCAATCAACACATCCCTACCTTTCATGCCGTCGGTATGTCTGAAAAATATTTGTTTTACCGATATTTGAAAACTAATTATTGAATTTTGATATGTTTTAAAGGAAATCATGAATTATACAACTTTTCGCGAAAACAATTGGCAGAACTCTTTAGGGACTCTCTATTCAAACGAATGAAATTAAACTCGGAATCAATTGGTTTGAATGGATTGGAGGCATTGCCAGCGAATCCCAATTCCGATGAACTATCGCTATATTATAAGATTAATCCCATTCCTCAACTCAAACTCATATCATTGGATTGCTTTGATATCAGTGTCTTGGGTCACGAACCCACTCACGAGAAGTACATAATGGCTGCAGAGGTGTTGGTCAGACATCACGGCCGCTATGACTTCGACCTCTGGGACACAGACAACCACTTGGTTGGCGCCAACAAACGGTTTCAGTCGTCTAACGGCGCCATAAGTGAAGAGCAACTGAAATGGTTGGAAGAAGAGCTACAAGAATCTGATGCCAAGAATCAAATGGTGATAGTGTTTGGTCACGTGGGTATTCATCCGGATAGCAGTGACTGGAATACCGTTATATGGAATTACGATGAAGTGATTGAATGTTTCAATCGTCACCCATCGGTGGTGGCCTACCTGAGCGGTCACTCACATATGTCTGGTTACGCCACTGCCAATGGTGTGCATTACGTCTCTTTTGAGGCCATCATTGAGACTCCGCCTCAAACCGAAGCGTTCGCCACAATCTCTGTCTTCGATGATAGGCTTGAGATCAAAGGACACGGAACTGAAACCAACAGAACATTATATTTCCGACACAACACTCAGACTTGTGATGAAAGCACTGGTGAAACAATTGAAGATTTAGCTCATGAAGAAATGGCTACTAATCAGACCATTGAAGTCGAAGTTTAAAGTTATTCTATGGTAAGACTCAACGAATTCTGTGATATACGATGTGATAAATATTTTGAATCTGACTTTACCTTACTGAAATAATTGAATACTTAGCCGACTCTAAAAGTTTATCTGATTTTCAGATCTAACTGACCGACCAATAGGCCGGACGAGTATGTGGTGACAAAGTATTTTTTACACATTATTTTTATTGTTTAACTGTTGTTTTTAGTATTGTTAACCTTTCCTAATGCATATCTATTGGAAAATTTAGATTACTCATAAGAATTATAAATTAATTAGTTGTCTATACAATAACAATAATTTAATAATTTTTAAGTAAGCATTATTAAATTTATATCGTTTATTCATATCTTTAATATACTGTATATATTTTACAATTACTGTATAATTGTTGTTAATATTTTTATCATACATTTTGTGAATTTCATCATTACAAAACTAATTTGTATATCAAAAGAGTTAAATTTCAAACATTTTTTATTGTGATATGATTTATACTTATATTATAAATCTGATACTATATTTATAAAAATAATAATTAATTACACAGACTTTTAAAACTAACACTTGAATTAAATATTGTACTAATATTAGTTTTTATGCTTGGATTAAACTTTTATAATTTTATATTATTATATTATACACTAAATTAAATATTGTATGATTTATTCAAATATTAAATATAAATAAATCTCCAACGGATTGAACATATTTATTATTTTTGTTTTCATTTTTAAAATAAAAATAACTTTAAATTGAAATATAATACTGTATTTTTTAAAATACTGCCTTATTAACTACTTGTTGTTTGTCTATGCAATTGTTTATATTGAATTATAAAATATTCTCGTTTAAAGCATTGTAATATTGAAGATAAAAGCGGGATTTAGACATTAATTAAACCACTTTATGCTTACACTTGTTAAGACTGTAGCCCAAGAGTGGCCACAATTATTGTTAGGACAGTATTTTCATAATTGTTAACAAAATACGCTATAAATCATAATTTACGATTAACTATATTTTTAACAAAAACAACACCTATCTACGAACTAGCATAATTCTAACTAACATGAACTGTTCTGAATTATTCTACACAATGACCTGGATAAATTGTAGATTTTAAATGTTTTGAACACTTGCTTACTAGTTAGTCTTGCATTCAATAGAAAAGTTTTAAGTTTCTGCCAGGGTCCTGCTAAATTTTAAGAGGTTTTAATATATACAATGTCTGTAATTATATTCAGGATCAGAAATGTAAACTTTCATGAACATAAGTTGTATTTTGATATTAAAAATATTATTTTGATGTTATTGTTTCTATGTAATATACAGTATAATTATAATACCATTTAGTCTACATTATTATTTCATGAATATACAAATTAATCAATAAAATACAGGAAATATTATATAAAGATGTAATGAAATAAAACACGAATCAATGTTGAGTACAATATTCAATGTCTGGAGTATTAATGATGGAATTGAGTGACTAATGTGTTTATGATATTTAGTAATCCAGTTTGAAATACTTTGACTAAACATGGGATACATGTTCACTAATGTAATTAAGTTTGTTTAAACAAATTAGAAATTAATCTGAAATCAATTCAATCTAAAAATAAATTACTTAGAAATCAATGCAATACTAAAGTGAGTAATTTTAATTATTTTGTACTACAGTATACAGTACATTAGTGCAGTATTGGATTTTTTATTTTTTAATCTTTTAATCTAAACTAAAAGTCATTTTGTAGTTTTGTATGATTGTACTGTATACTAATAAGTTATAATTGTTTTCACTGTGTTCAAGAGTTAGAGTTATAGAAACCGATTATATTTAATGTTTAATATTGAATACCCAATTTTATACATTTGAATAAAAGTGAAATACAAACTCTTATCTACTATTGAGGCGTTGTGCAGAGATACAGTAAGTCAATTGATATAAATTATCAGTGCTATTTTATAGCGTTTCACTTCAATTAAACGAAAAGTGAAATATTAAAACTATTTCTTTGTTAATTATTTTGTTGATTAATCACATCTAAATATTATTGTGATTTGAATTAATCTCTTATTTAAATTGTGATTAAATTGAAAGCCATTTGCGCTAAAGATGCCGAAAACCAATTCGTATTTCTTGTTATTCTTGGCTTTTGTGGTCTTCGGTTATTCTCATTGTCTGACTTCTTATCTCAAATGTAAGACTCATTTTAATTTTGCATTATTTAGCAGAGAATACCAAAACATTTTACCAATTCGTATTTCTTGTTATTCTTGGCTTTTGTGGTCTTCGGTTATTCTCATTGTCTGACTTCTTATCTCAAATGTAAGACTCATTTTAATTTTGCATTATTTAGCAGAGAATACCAAAACATTTTGATTGATATACAGATGAAGTGAAATCTGAATTCTGTTTGGGTTCAAACTTTGATCCGCACATTGAAGTCAATGATTCGGCGATCGACACCTCTATTATACTCGAGTCCTCGCCGTTAATGCCGGAGACATGTTCTGTGAGACTGAGTCTGTCGTCACAAGTGGACGGACTTATTGTATCGGTTGACAGCATTTCGATCATTAATTCTAACAAAAGTTGTGACAATTTCATCCAATTTGGTTCGTCTCCAGTGGCCAAATGGTGTCAATCATCGGACGCCCAAACCCTCATATTTTCCGATTCAGGCATTGATATTGCATTCAATTTCCCGAATAATAATGGCTCGCATTTCAAGTTAATTATAACTCCATTCAAAAGTATGCAAATTCTTGAATTGCAAAATATGTCTAATTTATAAATTCTTTTAACACTGACTTAAATGAATGATGAAATTAGAGCCGGCACTCAATGAATGTGAATCCAATGCTCCCTACAAATGTGTCAATTCGAGTCAAATTCTGTGCATTTCCGATGGATTTAGCTGTGATGGTATAGACAACTGTCCCAATGGAAGTGATGAAAATGCCTGTCCAACCACTTCTAGTCCACAAATTGAAGACTTTACACATACTCCTGCAGAAAATGCAACCGAATATGGGGTTTCATATGAAACTACTATAGTGTCAGCTATTGAAAGTCATTCACAAGAATTCATTTCTTCAGAGAATTATGAATTACGTAATTAAACCTTGCTAATGTGTTAAATGATAATATAAAGAAATATAATGTTTCTTGTATTTAGACGACTTTTATACCGACTTCTGCAACAAAGGAAAGGCAATAATAGTGACCCTAACAAAACCCTCTGTGATTCTGCATTTATATGCTAATGAATCACAAAACCTGACGGAAACTGATTGTGTGGTGAGAATAGAAATGTCCACTTCCTCTAAAAAGGGTCTCATATTGGGAATCGATGACATCCATATTGGAAGCAATGACAATGAAACGTGCAGTGATTATATCCTAATCCAAGGCTCAGACTCGGATAAAACCAAATGGTGTAGAAATAATAAGACCGATATTTCTGGGAAAGAGTTTCCCCGACAATCCCATATAGACATTGGATTTCATGCGGGAAAGGCTAGCAATTCAAGCTTCACATTAATTGTAACTGAATTCGAAGGTATCATAAGTTACTGTGATTTATGTTTGTAATGATTATAAACGGGAAATTATTTGTGTGTATATATCATATATAGAGCCGAGCTTGTTTGGACTTTGTTTCTCAAACAAGAATCTCAAATGTAGTTCCAAAGCAGGAAAACAATGTGTTTCAAAGGCATACCAATGCGATGGATACAGAAACTGTCCCGAAGGTGACGATGAAAATGATTGTCCTTCAGCCCCTACCACTACTACCACTACTACCACACCATCAAATCACACGACGCCGCCGACCCCACCCTCTACTACACCCCATACACCACAACCAACTACTACTCCCTCCCCGTCTCCCAAACCTGAACCCAAAGGAGGCCTGGGCGGTGGCTTTATAGCGCTGATAGTGATCGGCGTATTAATCGTGGCCGCAATTGTCGTCTTTGTTATCTTTAAATGTCTTAAGAAAAGACGAGAAAATAACGGATACTCTGCTGTAAATAGTGATTAAATAACTCTTATGAGTCTAAAACTTTCTTTTAATTGATCACATAATTTAATATTTAAAAAGTTCATTCAAATAATGTTATCTAATATTATTTTAATTTTTAAGTTTTAGTATTATAAATATATTAACTTGTAATTCATTGATATTATTGTAAAATAACTTTTTAAAAGTAATTTGTAATAAGTATGAAATTCATGCCATGAGTGCTATTACTCTAGAAAGAGTTTAATGAATACTGTATCTTGAAGTCCAAAACATATTTAAAGTTGAGCCGTTTGTATAACTATTTGACTAATCCAATAAATTATATTTTCAAAAAAAAACTAAAATTTTATTCATAAAATAACGAGTATAGGCATCAAATAGATATAAAAATAATTGTTTTTTGTTTTGTTAATTATATGGAAACAAAACCGGTATTTACAACAAGAATTAGAAAGCGTTGGCACATCTCAAGGATTGTTATTATATTTTTATATAACACTTATTACTTATTTGATAAATTATCGTCGGATTTTTTAAAATGACTGAGAATATGATTTAACTAAATAATAACCGTCTGCTAACAAAATACTTGAATAAAAATTAGGATAAATATGAGAAATCCTTCAAAATATTCTCAACTGTTTGTGAATCATTCAAATTGAATTCTAACTATGTTATTTATAGTCAAATAAATCTAAATTCTATAGAATAATATCTATACATAAGTGTCATATAAATTCTTGGTTTATTATTAGTTTATTTTATATAAGTTAATTTCAATTAAAATTACACTATTAATAGAATAAATATAAAATTATTATATATCTAGTTATTTTTAAAATTTTTACTTTTCTCAACATTTTGATTACAAAGTTGTCTATAAATTATTGTTTCACTATTTATTAGATAACTGATGGTATCCATAACTTTATGATAAAGTGCTTATTTTCATTTAATAATGTTATAATAGCTATTTTTCTTAATAATGTAACACATATTCCATTGTTTAGACTTTCATTTATATAAATATCGTAATATGTTAAAAGATACTGCAAATAATGATTTTTATAAAATATATATTATTTGTTTTAATTCTTATTAATTGTGTTCATTCAACATACATAACCTGTAAGTTATTTAAGAATGGTTATTTTAAAAAGTTAATTAAAATATTTCGATGAATAGATTTCATACAAGATTATTGTGATGAAAATCCCGACCGAAGAATATTGATCAGTGATTCCCGAAGTTATTCGGCTCTCATTCTTCGCCCATCAGATGACAACATACGGTCTAATCACAAATGTTTGGTCAAAATAATAGGCCAACAAATTGTGGGATTTGTCGCAATTGCTAAATATGTATCGCTTTCGAGCAATAACTGTGAAGATTATATAAAATTTGATGACAAACTCAAATGGTGCCAAAATAATGACACTCAACACTTGACGTTTTTAAGCAACGAATTGAGTGTTGAATTCAATACCGGAAATAATAGTACTTCCAATTTTGAATTAATAATCACTGCCTTTAACGGTAAATACAATTAAAATTATGTTTTTAAACATATTTTCAAAAATATATTTTAATATTCATCCAGGCATATGGAATAAGACGTGTCCGAAGACTAATACAATTAGGTGTGATGGAGGACAACAGCCCTGTATTTATGATGGCTTTGAGTGCGACGGATATAATAACTGTCCATTTGGTAGCGATGAGAAAGACTGTCCCAATCCTACAACACTTCTTAATGATATCGATGACGAATATTTAGTACAAAATATCGATTTAATTGAATTGGATTCAAATAAAACGGGAGAATTGACAACACATACGGATATTCCTTTAAGCAATGCTTCAGAAATGACATCAAATTTATGGATAAATTATAAAAATACTATAACCACTAATGATTACCTATCATACGAAAAAAATGTGACACCGGATTCTACAATCAAAAGCCAAACTTCTAATCAAAAGCTAACTGTCTCACAATTAACAATTCTGGTCATTTCTATGAGTCTTATAATGTTATTCATTACAGGAATTACTATTTATAAGTATAGAAAGCTCTACATTAACCACCAAGTACACTATCGACTGCTTAATTAAACTTTCTTAATATCGATTAAAATGATAACAATAATAATACAATAATAATTTTATAGTAAATGTTATTAACAGTAATTAAAATATTTAAATTATACTGTTGTAGATAAAATGTAGAGATTTAACCATTATCAAAACATTAATTCTCCATAATACTGTACTAATCTTGTAGTAATAATCTTGTAATTTAATAATTGTAAGATGAGCACAATTTTAAAATAATTTTTATTTTAACAAATTTTCAAAACAATATAAATAAACTATTTGAATAAATACAAAGTCTTAAAAGTTAAAGCAATAGACCAAAAATGAGGTCAAAGAAGCACCAAGTTAATACCACAGTCAACCACAAGTCGGTCACATTCAATCACCTCAAAGACGATGAACTTCTCATCATATTTTCGTATTTAGATTTAAGACAACAGTTCACTGCAATGGCTGTCAGTAGGCGCTGGAACCGTTTGGTTCAATGGATATTACGGGTCCGTAAATCATTGAGTTTTGTGGACGACACCAAAGATCTGTCCGATTGGCATCAGGACCACTGGTATGAACTGACAGCCCGTCCCACTCACTATGAAAGAGTTGCTTTCAATTCTGTCACACAACTCGTGTCACACATCGTCAGGAAAAGTCCGAACCTCAAGAGTCTGGATATGGAGTGCTTCACAATTAACTCCAAAGCAATAGACCTCTTGGCCACCAATTGTCTCAAACTCGAG